TACTCTCATTTATGCTGTGTGTTCTGTCTGCCTGTTCATGTAAGTTTATTTTGGATTTTTGCCACGTTTTGCCATTCAGCAATAAAAGCCGAGTTTTGAGTTACTTTCCGCCTCGGAGTGTCTGCACATTGGGTCCTTCTACTTCCACTCCTGCCTGCACACAGCCCTAACCTCACATTATTTGCTGTGACTTGTATTTGTTACCAGGTGTCAGCATAACTGAGTTCCATAAAAAATGGTATAGGGACTATAAAAGCCTTGAGTACGTGCACACATACATTCAGTGGTAAGTTAGTCTATAGTCACAAATATGATGTAAAAAGTTCAGTTCCAGTTTATGACATTTTCTCTCAAAGGTTGTTCCCACTGCAAGAACCAGGAGTGAACTATGAGGCCAGTACACTGACAACGGAAGAAATTACGGTAAACCTGTGAAAGTTACCAAGTTATGATTTAAAATTAAAACATGTCTTATACACTGATAGAGGTTCGATGTTTCCTTCAGGATTTTCTTAATCACAGCATTGCAAAGAAAAACCTGCTGAAGTCGTACAAGCTCATGTTGGACTTTTATGGTATCGTGTTGTGTGATGAAAAGACTGGAAAAGTCAAGAAAGCAGAGCACTGGGAAGAAAGATTTGACAACCTTAACAGGTAAAACTACCTCTGAATTTAAAAAAATCTGTGTGCAGTAAAAGTGACAAAAAGCTGTAAATGATCTCATTTTGGGACTGATCACTGTCTGACAGTCACACACACAACAGCCTGCGCATCACTCGCATCCTGAAGTGTCTGGGAAACCTGGGTTACCGTCACTACCAAGCCCCTCTGGTCCGCTTCTTCCTGGAGGAGACTCTGGTCAACGGACAACTTCCAAACATCAGGGACAGCGTCCTCAGCTACTTTATGTTTGCTGTACTTGATAAGAAAAAGCGCAGAGGTCTCATCAAGTATGCATATTTGAACTATGAGCCTAAAGATGAGTTTGTGTGGTGCCCAAAGAAAATCCAAAAATTGTGGTCAATGCAGCCCAAGGCAGCAAAGGAAGAGGCCGCTGACTCTCTGGAGTCGCAGGAGGACACTGTGATTTCTGACAGTGAAGCACAAGAAGAGGAAAACCTGTCTGCAGATGAGTCGTGTAACAATGCAGAGTATGAGTCTCGTGAGGGTGAAGAAACTTTCAGCCATAATGAAGATTGATTGATGACAATGAAAAGCTTATTCATCTTATGCTGAATAATACTGATAAATTATACTGTGTATGGAGTGTATGCAGATCCAGTGATTTAGTTCAACAGTGCAGTTAGTCAAAAGGCCTGATTCTTTATGGAAATGTTTGCTTACTTCAGTATTCATCAGCTTTGAATATTTGAACTTTAAACCTAACGATGGGTTTGTGTGGTTCCAAAGGAAAATCCAAAACGTTGTGGTCAGGGATGCCCAAGCACAGAAGGAGACTGAATCTTAACAGTGATTTTTTTTTATGCTGCTCTCCTTCCTGACACAACCTCAGAGGGATACGGGTATGTGTCTCCTTCTGGTATTGAAGATTGATGTTAAATGTTAGGCGAATGTCTAAACCACTATACCATGTGGACAAAATTTATGAAACACTACTTAAACATCATAACTACAAAATTGTTCACGCCCCCCTGGAAATAAACTTTTAAACTAGAAAAGCCACAATCCTTCCTTTTCTTGAGACAACTGACATCAACCCATCTGTGGTTAGATTCAAGCACCTCTGTCTGTAATAAAAAAGGATGAAATGTGATGTTTTTACTGAAATGCCAGGCAACATTACTGGTTGTTTTTTTTCGGTCAGCTAAATTTCTGTCTTCAGTTATGTGTTTTTTAAGGAAACTGTCGGTTTCATTAATATATATCACGTTACATGGATATTGTATCATATAAATTCATTCTCAGTCTTACAGGTGATAAACCCCACACCTTCTTTGGTTGCATAAAGGTTGGATAATGTTATATTGTTTATGCAGGTTACAATTTGAAATGGCCTTGAAGAGGCTTGCTGATACACTAAACCTGTTTTTCCTCCTTATGGTTTTAAAACCATTCAGGTACTTGAAGTTTTTATCCTTCATCACCTCATATCGTTATTTTTTCATTGCTTTTTATTTTCCTTGCAGATGTAAAAAAAACAACCCAAAACAATTCGAAGGAATTTTTTTTTCTTGTAAGCTTTCGGGTTATTTTTCAGTTTCATTTTAAACTGTTTTAAATTGCTTGACGCTGGGTGGGATAACGCTTAACCACCCCCACAGGTGGATCTATCTGGCTTATGGTGGCGTAAAAGTTTTCTATTGGACTGTCTAGTCGGCGCCTCATCAGGAGATGTGGATGTATGGTTTTTTGTTTGCTTTGTTTTTCTACTGCAGCATGGGTCAAACATTAAAGAGGTTCTGTATTGTAGTCAGTGTTGCTGAAGCTTGAATTTCTTCACAATTATATATATATTCATATTAGTACAGGCCATGGCCAAAATATTATATGGTGGTTCTATACAGACTGAAAAAATAAGCTCCTAAATTGAAAGTTAATTATCGAGATTAATATGTGTTTTATTACTGAAAAAGAAAAGCTTGGATTTCTGATCTTTAACAACTGAAACTGCTCACTTTATCATCTGACTCAATAAGCTAATAATCAGTATGTGTAGCTAAAACAACAGTGTGAACACAAAAAACCCCACACCACTTTTAAGATGAATAATCGTTTCATTTATATTTGAAAGAAAAACTGTTTACATCCAAAACAAATGCCATCAAACAGGTTTATTAGTAGAGCTGAAACAGAAAAAAGTGACAGTTCATAAACAACTATTTTTGTGGTGTATACTGTAAGGCTGATGTCATTTTATTTCAAATCTGTTGAACATATTAACACATTTATGTCTCAGTGTATCTTTAGCCTTCACATTGTCCATCTCAGATATATGGCTTTTATTTTCTCTACTTAGAAAAGTATGATTAAAAACATCCTTATATACACAAATACATTCATATTTACATATTGCAAATGGTGTGAATCAGTTACATTATTGTTTTCTAAAAAGAAAAATGCTTTGACAAAAAAAAGGTACATGTAATAGGACTGTGCAGCCTACATTAATACATCTTGTACCACAAGCAGTTTAGCTTTCATTCAGTTTTTTGCTTTTCAAATGTAATAAAACAAACTTAGAAACCTTTAGGTGACAGAGAGAATACAAACATATTTAAATGTTTTTGTCTGGTAGGAACACAACCGTGGAAATCTGATGAAATACTGCTCTTCTGTTTTTACAGTGATTAAAGATGTAAAAGTCTTGGAACCGTAATGTCCATAAAACAGAGACTAGGAAACGTTCTTGCTATTTTCTGTGGTTTTATCACTGTCCTTGGACGTATCGTGTTTACTGTCCTTTTTCTCTTCTTTCTTATCTCGGCTTCTGCTTCTTTCCCGACGATCTCTGCCTCTGTCACGGTCCCTCTCCTTTTCTCTCTCTCTCTCCCTCTCTCTGTCCCTATCTCGATCTCTGTCTCTGTCCCTGTCTCTACCCCGATCTTTCCCACGATCCCTGTCACGGTCTCTCTCTCTGCTTCTGGATCGGTCCCGCTTCCTGTCTCTCTCACGCTCTCGTTCTCGCTCTCTGTCACGGTTTCTTCCCCTATCTCGGTCCAAGTCTTTCCTGTCAGATTCCCTAACTCTGTCTCTGTCTCTTTCCCTGTCTCTATCTCGGTCTCGCCTCTTGTCTGAATCTTGATCCCTGTGTCGTTCTCCCTCTGCATCCCTGTGCCTCTCACCCTCCCTCCCTCTGCTGCGGTCTCTTTCTCGGCTACGCTCGTTATCCCGGTCCCTTTCTCTGCCTCTGTCCCACTCTCTTTCTCGGCTCCACCGCTTTCCCTGCCCCTTGTCCCATGAGGGCCTGCCAGCATGAGGGACATCTCTCTCTTTCTCTCTCCGGCGGTCCTCAGACAGATCCCTCGGCCTCTCATCAGGGGCCTGTGAGGAACCATGAATGAGTTCTCTATGTCCTTCAAAGCGGCTGAAGCGATCTCCACTGCGAGGCTCTGAGTCCTCACGGGTGGTGCTGCTCCTCCTCCTCATTTCAGGAGAATGGCGGCGCCAGTGATCGTCCCGGTGTAGGTCTGGCGGACCTAGTGGAGCCTCCGGAGGAGTTGGCAGCAGTGGCCCGCTGTGGCGAACAGGTCTAGCCTCATCAGAGTACCTGTCAAAGCGGTACCGGTCAGAGCCTGCAAAAGGCGGAGGTCTGGTCTCCTGAGATGGAGGACCTCTGTGCTCATCAAAAAATCCTCGGTGTGGTGGTGAAGATGGAGGTCTGGAGCCCCCATACTGGATTTGTGGATTGAAGTGCTCCCCACTGGGAGGCTGACCTCGTCTGTCCTCATACTGGTTATGTGGAGGTCCCCGGTAGCTTGGACCTGGTGGAGGGCCCTGATTGGGATTATTAACAGCATCTTTGTTATACTGTTCTGCAGATCCTCGAGCCTGGTCTACTATTGTTGGTTGAGCCCCATGGTCACCATACTGAGGTGGTGGGGGACCCCTATGCCCTGGAAAGAGATTTGGAAGAGGAAGCCTGTTATCAAAGTGACCAGGTGGCAGAGCGGTGAAAGGCAGAGGAGGACCTCTGTTTCCAGGGAAATTAAAAGGTGGTGGGGGAGGACTAGTGAATCTGGGCGGAGCTAAGCTGTTCTGTCCATCGAAGGTGGGGGGAAGGGGAAGTCCTGGAGGGGGACCTGGTTGTCCAATGTGCTGAGGGGGAATGGAGGGATCAAATATCTGAGGAGGTGGGCCCCTCTGGGCTACTGGAGGGAATGGTGGTAGTGGTGGGCCTCTGGGTGGCATGATATTCTGAGGTGGTGGGCCAGGTGGTGGCTGTTGAGGTGGTGGCTGCGTGCTTGACCACTGGTTTTGATAGGGAGGGTATGAAGATGGTGGTGGGCCATACTGCTGACTGCTGTCACCTTGCATTGGGGGATGACTGTGCACAGGGGGAGGAACATGGATTGGAGGAGGGGGTCCCTGAATAGGAGGGGGGGTTGACATTGGAGGACCTTGCATGGCCTGCATGGGTGGTAGCACAGGCACAGGAGGCGGCCTCATTATTAGATTTTGGCCCTGCATGGAACGGGGAAGGGAGAAGTTGGGTTGTGGAGGAATGTCAGCTGGAGGTTTGTACTCACTGTCGAAGTCTGACCCTGTCATGTGATGCAGCATGTGATGTGACTGAGTGTCAGCTGCTGCTGTGCTCTGAGTGAGTACTGGGATTGTCGAAGTTATTTTGGATGTTTTTGCAGGCTCACTGTAATAGCTTGCTGTAGATGTCTCTTGGCTATTCTCCTCATACTCTGAATCCTCAGCTTTTAAAATACTGGCTGCATTTGGCCACATACTGAACTTGTCCATCTTTGTTTCAGACTTAACTGGCTCGCTTTCCTCTTTTTTCTCTTCTTTCTCATCTGTGTAGCTGACTTCCATATCAGGGTCCACCTTTTCGCCTAATAAAGGAATTGAAACCTCTGCCTTGTCCGATTCCATGAAAACTAGCGCCTCACTTTTCACTTCCTCTTGATGCAGTGAGGGGTCTGAATCTTGTGACGAGTCTGCAGGTTCGCCTGTTTTAGGCGACTGCAGCTCTTGCACCTCAGGCTGTGAAGCTGGAGGAACAGGATCGGTCACTGGAGCAGGTGTCTCCTCTTTGTCCTCGGGTTCATCAGACAGTTTTCTGCTGCCTGTAGACTGGCGAGGATCCCTGCTTTGTCTGGGATCTCTCCTCTGATTGATTAAAGGAGCAACAGATGAAGATTTCACAAGCTCCTCAACCTTTTTGCCAAGCTGTAGCAACTGACAATTGGCCAAAAGAGATTTTGCAGGTTGAGTTAAGAGTGTGCTTGCAAGTGTCACTGAGGCAATAGGAGTGCTTGTAGAGGACATTTGCTGTTCTCCTTGTTTCTGCAATGCTTGATCACCAATGTGTTTAAGGCTCTCAAGAATCTTTTGGGGATCGGCTGCAGACTCAGTTGCAGGCTTAGCTTGACCTGGAACTAAAGTTTTAACCTCTTCGAAAATAGAGTCATCCTCTGGGTCATATGCAACATCATCAGCTTCACTTGTTTCCACCTTAGGTTGCTTAGTGACTTCAGGTTTGCTTACCACCTCCATAGGCTTCTTCGGCACATTGTAGGATCTACTGGGGTCATATTCTTCTTCTGGGTCATAAGGTCGGTCATCTTCATCCTCCTCTACTGTTTTTTCTTTAGAAATCTGTGCAAACTTCTGAACTATAGGATCTAACATTGTACCTGTTGGGGCAGCAAATTCCCCACCCTGATCAGACGGTGA